CCCCCGCAACATTTGGCAATGTCTGGAGACATTTCTGGTCATTGCAATTAGGGGATGCTCCTAGTATCTAGTGGGAAGAGGCCAGGGATTTTGCTAAACATCCTACAATGCACAGGACAGCCCCTCTCAACAAAACGGATTCCACTTTTACCTAAGAAAAATGGAAACCTATGTCCATATAAAACTTATACCTAAATGTTCTTGTCCGCTTTTTTCATAATTTTCAAAAACTGGGAACATCCAATTCAAATATTCATCCATAGATAACTACATAAGAAAATTGTAGTAAAAAGAAATAGTCCAATGAAATAGCACTCCACAATAAAAAGGAACAAACTACTAATACATATAACATTGATAAACCTCTGAAACATGTGCTGGTGAAAGAGGCCAGAGATAAGAGTATATAGTTATGATATCATTTATATAAAATTCTGGAAAATGTAGAACTACTCAATAGTGACACAAAGCAAATCAGTCATTCTCTGGTGCCAAGAGTTGGAGTTGGGATTGTTGCAAAGGGACATGAAGGAGCATTGGGGAATGATGGAAATATTCTGTATCTTGAATATGGTTGTGGTTTTATTTGTCAAAATGCATTGAAAGGTGCACCTAAAATAGGTGTGCTTATTTTATGTTAATTTCACCTAAATTTCACTAAATGAAACTACTCATAATTCTATATACCCTGTGGTCATTATCATTAATATTTTATATATTTACACTTAAATCTATTTAGATACATATGTTATATAATTAAAAGTATTTCCTCTTTACAATGAAAAAAAATCAAATAATAGTTCTGGAGTGGTGACATGACCATGAGCAGCTGTCACGGGCCTATTCCCCATCCCAAAACAACCAGAGAGGTAAACAAGTTGATTGTCATAAACACACCGCAATTTAAAGTCTCTGGGCAGTGTCTAATGAAATACAGCAAATAAAGAAACATGTAGTGGACACATAAGGGGTGCGACGAGGAGAGAGAGTGGCAGGTGGCACCGGCAGGGCGGGCGGGTATATAGCATACATAGTGAATGAGATGTGCACCATCTGGGGGATGGCTCATGCGAGGAGACTGCAGACTTTTGGGGGAGGGGGGAAATGGGCATTCCTATTGAAACCCTTAAGAATCTGTAGCCCCCATAAATACCTGCCAAAATAACCAAAAATAAATTAAAAAAAAAAAAAGAAACATGTAGGCTGGGCACGGTGGCTCACGCCTGTAATCCTAGCACTCTGGGAGGCCAAGGCAGGCGATGTTCGAGGTCAGGAATTCGAAACCAGCCTGAGCAAGAACGAGACCCCTGTCTCTACTATAAATACAAAGATATTAATTGGCCAACTAATATATATAGAATTAGCCGGGCATGTGGCGCAGCCTGTAGTCAGCTACTCGGGAGGCGGTAGGAAGGATCGCTGAGCCCAGGAGTTTAGGTTTGCCTGTGAGCTAGGCTGACGCCATGGCACTCACTCTAGCCTGGGCAACAGAGCGAGACTCTGTCTAAAAAAAAAAAATAAAAAAAAAAAAATAGGAAGAAAAAAAAAAGAAACATGTATTCAAGAAAATGTGTTAAATCTGCATAAGAATAGCAAGACTCTATGGCACTTGAGCTGTGGCTGCTCCCTTTTCTCCCCACCCTCAACCAGCTCAGCACCATGCAGGCACCATCCAAGCACATGTGGCCAAGAACATGGGGTCCCTCTCCCCTCTGTTCCCAAGAAAGGGTCACAGCATTTCACCAGGAGGCGTAAACTACCAGCATTCCTCCACCCCTCCAATTCTGAGTTACAGAGGCTAAATTCCTAGACAGTGCAGTCAAGAGTGTAGGAAGGAACTGCCTTCATCCACTCAAAGGTAGAGGCTTTAGCACAGGGACACAGATCAAGAACACCAGGGCTCTGATCTCCGTGATCCCAGCTTGCCTGCAGAGCGGAGGCACTATGCAGAGACAAACCAAGGAGATCAGAGATGACTCCGCCTGCCCAGCACCTGGACTCTGCGATATTGCACAGGATGACAGGCAGGCAGTGCATGAGAGCAGAGAGCGCCAAAACTCTCCCAAATAGAACTGACTTTGTTTGAAAACACGAGCATAGGGGCACGCTTGAAAACAATGGCAACTCTGGCGCTCCGCAATTAGGAAGAGGCTGGAGGTGCTGTAAGACCAAGAAGCTAGACTGCAGGCCAATCAGTTCTGCAGGGAAAACAAAGGAAAAAGAGAGCTAAGAGCAGCCCTTCTGGGGCACAACAAACTTCAAAGACTGGCCTCCAAGAAAAGTACCCCTGCCCAATTTAATTAGACGATGGGGCAGTTTATACCCCAGGACATTGCATAAGCAATAGAACAATCAGCCAGCAATTAGTGAAGCTGAGCAACTACCTGTGATGCCAGATAGAGACATCAGGGAAGGAGACTGTCAGAGCCCTCCAAAAGCAGAGGCGTCCCACTACAGGAGAAACAGACTTGACTAAAACACTTTAGTCGAGACCCTAGCCAAATTACCAAGGAAACAGCAACATGCGCTTCCATTAAGTTAGTACTCACTGACCTGGTACTGCTCATGTCACCACTCCAGAACTATTATTTGATTTTT